GGTCCCCCCCCCCCCCCGCACACACCCATCTTGAGGAACTCGGGTTTATTCCGTCAGCGAAGCGTTGCCCTGGGGGAAGGGGGTGCGCGGAGACGCTCCCAGCGCCCGCCCTCGGTAAAACCGGTAACGCTCCGAAAACTCTGTGTCTCTCAGCTTTTGAGTTTCTGGTAAGCGAACTTTAATTCAGGTCGAGGTGGACCCTAGTGAGCTTCGCTTTCTCGATATCGTTTATTCGTGGTCATTGAGTACACGCGCTCCGGAAAAAATTAAACCCCGGATAAGCAGTTCACATTGTTACATTGGCAGTAACAAAGTTAGCCTTTGCTGAACATTTGCGCTTAACCTGTAAAACCGTGTGGCTTTTTAACAGTACCCTTTTTCTTCCAGAATAACATTGTTAAAGCACCTTCACGTTAGAAACAATAAAAGTAAGCTTATTTAATAAAGAATCTTCTTTGTAGTACAGCATCCTTGCTCCTTGGGGGACAGATAACTGCTGTTTCGGTTGGGTTTTGTGTGGGTTTTTTTTAATATGCTAAAACATGTATTTATGATAAATTATTTTCTAGACAGGTGCAATCAGAGTGTTGTACGTCATCTTTTTTGATCTGATGTTACCATGAACTATTTCCTGCTTACTGGCAGAATTTCTCTAAACAGGTCTTTTTAATGGTTAGGCCGATGCTATAATTGGTGTTAATTGGAGGGGTGGGGATGAAAGCTCCTGGCTGAGGGAGGAGTGATTGGTAAAACTGTGGCATGCCTTAGTAGCCAGTGTAGCTTATAAAAATACTTAAAATTAAGCTGATGATTTAGTGCTCCCTTAAAAAACTTTTCATTGTAGAATGTCAGTCTGTCTCCAAAACAGGTGATGTTTCTAACTTTTACATTCTGAAAGGGTGGAGAGTAAACTTGGTAAGATCACCAATTCTGGGGAGATAGGAAAGAGAAGTCCTCAGAATACAAAATAGTTTCTATGTCATTAGGAAGGTATCCTCTGAATTACCAATCTGTATATTCAAAGTGGGTCAGGTTAGTAAGTATACTTGTAGTATGTTTCAGCAAGAGATTCTTCAGAATGGTTTACTTCATCACAAGGTAGTTGGCTACAAAGTAGCAAGAGACTGCTACAATAAAATTGTGTAATGTTTCACGTTTAAACTACCCACTCCCAGTATCTTTTTAAAGTTACATTGATGTTTAATTGCATAATTAAACTGTTGGTTAAAATAGTGTGTTTCTGTAGCTTGTAATACACTACTATTAAAGAAAAACAATGCTGACTTAAGGCTTTATTTTCTTCTGCAAGAGATAATTTAATATGCAAGAGGTTGAGTTCCTGTCTGTACACTGAAGTAAAAGTTATTCTGGAAAGTAACAGCTTTAATATTGTGGTGCTGGTTTTAGCATTCAAAAAATTGCATATCATTATTCTCAGCCTATGTAAAGTACTTTAGTTTAACATATAGCTTGGATTTTGTTTTTTCATCCATATTTAGGTTCATCCTTTTTACACATTGTCATTACTGTTTTTTTTTTCATGCTGGGTGCACTTTAAATAAAAATAAAAGAAAAAACAACTCTTCTATAGGCTGGGTTAATTTATTATTTTTTTTTTACTACTCTGTACCTCTTCATGAAGGTCTCTGGATTCTAGTTTCCTAGATTTTGTTTTGGTCAGTTACCTCCCTTCCACCAGTCTTCAGTTTCAGTAACTTGTCCTCGGCAATTTTTTCTTCTTGCCCTGTCAGACTTCTGTTTCTTATTCCTAATGTTAAGACAGGCCATAATTTCATACCAGTGTCTTTAGCAATACTACCATAGGCTACCACTCACCCAGTTGCATAGCGAGGGAGCTGTACCTTAAGTAAGCCTCGATGCCAGTCTAGCTGTGGTCTTACAGAGCATGATTGGCCTAAATTCAGTGTCTCTATGGAAGAAGGAACAGCAGAGCATTGTGAATGGGGCAGTTGTGCCTTGCTCCCTTCCCCACTCTGCAGCTGCTGTATATTGTCACCTAGTACCCTCTGAAGGGCTTTCTAACTTTGCATGCACCATATTTTTATGGTTATAAATGTTCCCTTCTGTTGGAAGCTGAAGTTAGGCAGAGTTTGGATTGCATCTGGCCTTCCTGTTTTGGGTTTCATCTGCCCCTTCTACAACCAGCTTCTGAGTTTCTGGGTGCCATTTTCATTGACAGTGACACAAATCAGTATAAAGAGGTGACTGTACAGTTAATTTGCATTTATGTTGTGCATAAGATGTACGCTTGATAGTGTATGATGCAGATGTTAAAGATCTTTGACGAATCAGAACTGTTAGCTCTGACTCAGACACACAGGTCTGTCTGCATCTTGTTTCCCAGATCTCTGGGTTTGGAGGGGACTTCCACAACTAGCCAGGTGAATAAAAAAATTGTCATGCTGTCCCCAGCAAGTATGAAGTTGTGGTAGTGTGGGAAGGAAGAACAGAGTGAAAAGTTGTACGTAGGGAGGGTGGAAGAGTGAAGTTATTGTACCAGGTGCAGTGCAATTGAAATGTGGCTTTACTGTCTTTAGTCTGAGCTTAGCTCCAGGCATTGTTAGGATACTTTACTGTGTACATCAGGACTCTGAGATACATTATGTATATTGTTGCTTCTTGCAATAGCCTGGGGCAGAGGGGCAAATTAATGTAGCCACAACTGTTGCAGTATATTTTAAATTCTTGCATTGTGTTAACTATGCTGGATCCAAATTCATTTTTGCCGATCCAGTTGAATGATGTCAGGACTTAAAATCTGTTAGGTCCCTGCCGGACTCCTGGCAAAGGTCTACATGATGTTTGACAAACTGGAATTTCCAAGGTTGGTTCTTAGAATACCAAACACTTACTCCTGTCTGTACTGTAGAAATCCACATTTGTAGACTGAAAGGCTGCATCTGCCCTGACAAGCTCTTCCCAGGCTCTTCGTGTGTCAGGGTTATAAAGATCACACACTTGCACACATGTAGGTCTTTATGTTTCTCTGGGCTTTCATCTACACATCTAGTTTCATTTCAGTCATGTGGTGGTTTCTCTGTGACAAGACCTAAATTTGTTGTGCTCTCTGTCTCTTTCTACCATCCTAGAACCACTGCTCTTACCTACTTAATAAATCTATACTTGCCAGACATCAATTTTGGTTGAAGACTTGATGCAATATTTGCTTTACCCCTACATGAGTTGCCTTCTGATCTTTTAAGGCTAGAACATGCATTTCACACTTCCCATAACTGTTTCTAAGATACGTACCCCAGTCTGTGATGCATGTTACTTTATATGAATATGAATCTGGTCCAAGACTGAGCTGTGGAAAAAACGATGTCTCTATTGTCTTTGTGACTACAGAAAAGACCACTAAAGCAATCTTTTGCTGGTTTCTTACTGATACTTTTGTCCCTTCCTGGTCATTCCTCTCATTCATGCTTCTTGTCTGTTTGATATAATGCATCACGCAAGTTTCTGAATTCTCACTGCAGTAGTAAATGTTATTAGTTAACTTTAGCTTAACATTTTAAAAATAAATGTCATTGAGCACAGTACTGAAAGCAGAAGTTTATTCTTGCAGGATTGTGTGGGTTTAGCATCTCGGGAGGAGCAATTTGAAAGAAATTCCTTTAAGGGCACATCATTTGATATGACATGTAGTAGAACTGGGTTTACTGTCACTGTTCACATTTATGTAGGAACAGATTGTAAACAGAATGAACATAAAGACTGGTGAAAGAAGACTTGGGAGTGAGTAATACAATGTTTTTTTCCAATTTTTACGGAACTGTAAATCTATATTTTAGCTACATTTCCAGGGTCAGTAAGTTCTAGGTATACCAAGAAGAAGTGTAAGTGGAAAATGTGTCTAAATGCTGACGTTTTCAAAATAGTCTCATGAGAAAAAGTATGGTAATAGTTACTAATCTAACATTCTTGATTTGTTCAGAGAGATAAACCAGCCCAGATTATGTTGGGGGGAGGACAGTATTTATAAAAGTATCTTTTTAAAATTATTTAAGATTAATATGATGGGTCATGTCTATTAATAGCGACCCAGTCTTAAAGGACAAAAATTTTTTCAAGATTATGTTCAGAGTTGAATTGATTTAGTGATAGAATAGAAGAAAGCAAGACATTAAAAACAGAGTTGAAGTGCAAGGATTGATGAGGTGTAATTGTAGTGTAGTGAAGGGATGGATTTTAAAACTTGTTCTATGCCTATACAGCTATAAACTAAAATTTAAGGAAAAAAACCTTAGGCTAGCCAAACCTGTAAGTTAACCTAACTGGACAGCTACCGGTGCTTGTTAAGTTGCATGTTAATATATTTGAAATAATGTTCATCGGGGCTGTTACAGTCCTGGCTATGCTAAACTGTGCAGCAGCCAGCCAAAACCTCCAAACATTACCTTCCGTCTTAATGGACATAAACCACCTTTTGGATGTTGAACTAATTTGACTGAACTAGCTATTAAAATTCCTGCCTTTATGTACACGGTCTTGTTTGTAGAAGCTTTCATTTCATAATTAGTGGTAGTTTTTAAAGCATCTTAAACTGGCCACTTCACAGTGGAACAGCTGTTTAAATACATTTCCTTTTCACTGCAGAAGATCTTTTTGTGGAAACTGGAGGATGCTTTAAGCAACTGGATGCATTAGGTGGTGTGAATAGTTGAAAGATGGTTTGCCTAGGTATTTTTGTACACACTTTGGAGTCCTGAGGGTTCATTTTCAGAGACCTAGTGAAACTGTTAACTCTTGCTTTTAGCAGTAAGGTATAAACTAAAAATTTTTTCTTTAAGGTGATTGATAAATAACTTCTAGTAAATACTAGAAGTCAACTTTCTTCTGTTCTTGTTCCCTCAGGCATCCTTTATGAACTCAGATTTGGACTTTGTGCAGTTGATGTATTTTGCAGGAAGGAACTCTTAGAATTCTTACTGAATAATTTGGTTTTAGGTCTTCAGATTTTAGAAACTGGTCATAAAGATCATTTGCTAGTTATCTGTGTGTAAACAATCAAAGGGAAGCTGTGAATCAGACTAGATGGTAATGATACGGATACTTGTGGACATAGAACATTACTGAAATAATTCCACGAGCTTCAGAGTGTGGTTTATAGGAGGTATACTGAATACAGTTACCAAAAGCGGAGGAAAAAAGCGTTTTTTCAGTTGTATGCAATAACTGATCGCAGCATATTTTTTTTTCCAGGCAGTAAAAAGCTAAAAAAGGTATCTGTCTGATTCAGTGCAGTTTTATGGTAGTTGAAGCTGATCTTAGTTCTAGCTGCTCAAGTCCTGTATGGTTTTGCATCCTTATTCTATATCACATCTGATCCTGAAATCAAAGAGTTGAACCTTTAGAAAGTTAAGCGCTTTTCTAATAGGATTATTTTTCTGCTGATTTAACTCCCTGAACTGGCTTGTTACAGAATGAGATTAACTCGAGTGCCTCTGTTAACTAGAGGGAGGGACTGAAAAGACTTATCTAGGGGCAGGATCATGACGGTAAACAAACGCCCAAGAATTAAGTATTCATAGTTTTGGATAATGGCTGTTGTGCAAGCAGTACAATGAAAAATACAGAATCAAAAGCTACGTACCCTTTAACTGTGATAAGCACAGAACAGATCTAAGCACCGTGCAGTTAACGTGCACTTTTCAAAACTGGGATCAGATGTCTTTCTGGCTATAGTTGAGCTATGATAAAAGTCACGCTCCCTGCCCCCTTGACTGCATACTTGCAGTAGATGTCCTCACAGGTTTGATGTGCAGTTGAACGCATCTTTGCTTACACTCTTAGTTTTGGCAAAAGGGTGCAGACTGGAAATTCCGCGTGTTGATTTCGCCAATGTATTCCGAGTGATGACTTGTGAAGGTGCAATATAACAAGGCCTTGCTTTGGCTGGGGTCTAACCAGAACACTGATTTGCCTGCAGTGCAGTTTGCTTCTGAAATGTGGATGGCTTTTGTCCATCCTGGAGATGGATAGGGACAGGAGAAGGAGTGCATGCTGGCCTTAAGTTGGGTGTTTTCTTTCTTATGACATAAGGTACAAGCAATTCCAAGCAGTCCAGTTTAAAACCCTGAATCATATTGTTGTTTTCAATTCTGTAGAGCTATAATTTTTATCTTTAACTGCACAGAAACTTTATTTGCTGTTGCTAAGTGAGTATTTGCTAATTTAGAAAATCAGTCTTTTTTTCAGCAGAAGAGTTAAACATTTTATTATGCTTCGTACACAGATTAAGTATACAGAATTAATGTAGGATTGCTATGATTATGTATCTTATCAGCACATTTTCACTAGCTTAATTTATTTCAGCCTTTTTGAGTTTGATGTCCTATATCTGCGTAGATGATGTCAAATTCCTGGAAGCCTTAACTGTTTTCACTGCAGTGTCAGCTGTGTGTGACACATGTGTGTCACATGGAAAGGCTTGAGATAATACAAATGATCTACTACTACAGTAGTTGGAACATGCTTCCGTGGCCCATTCTACTCTTTCCTGTTTGAAAGTCACTACTTGCTGTGTAGGACCCTGTACTTCCAGGAATGCTTCGGTAGTTGTGGATGTTTTTTTGTTTTTTTTTTTTATTGTAGCTGACATTAAATCTTGATAGGCATTTCTGTCGAATTGAATGCGGAAAAATATATGCTTGATTAAATATATGAGATGGAATATAATGAGAAGCAATGCTCACCACTGATGTGGGAGAACTTGCTAGTGCTTCATTGAATAAACATTTCAACTTCAGGTCATCTGTAGAGATAACTTCTGTAAATAGTCTTTAAATTTTAGAAATTTCAGCTTTGGTGCTGTCTTCTGTAAGCTGACATATGTTTATGCACATCATTTTTGGAAGAAATAAAGCCACTAGTTCATTTCATACTATGTTTTGCATCTTAAGCCCTTCTCAGTTGACTATAACATGCAGTATTAGAGAGTCAGGATTTTGATGGACTTAGGGATGTAAAGATATTCATATGGAAACTTATAAATTTACTACTTTTGAGCTACTAATTTTTAATTTGATTTTTAAAATCAAATTAATTTTATAATTTAATTTGCTGTGGGAGTTGATACTTGCCTTCCAAGGTACACTGCTTTGCACTGAGCAATTAATGTTAAGAACAACCCGAAAACTGAATCAAAAAGAAAGCCCCTCCTGATTTATTTTCCTTTCCCTTTCATGCATAGCTGCTATTAGATGCTAGTTTAACAATTCTGCAGCATTATTGATCATTTGTCCATTTTATAAGTAAATTTAATTTAAAATCTTTTAAGGGATATGCCTTGACTGATATCCTGCTAGTAGGACTGACACAAAAACTGGTAGTGCTGAAAAATATTAAAAATACAGTAGCTTTTTTTAAATGATCATGTTGAATCACAGCGTATAACATAAGCAAATGTTGTACAGTAGTGCATTTGTTGAGGCTGACAAAAGCAAAGGGACAAGGCACTCCTGAAAATAAAGTTGATGTTCCTGACTACCTCAGACTTACTGCATTTGCTTAGCCTCAGCTTTTTACTTTTTTTAAGACCAACTGTTTTGTACAATGCTTCATTGGTAGCTTATCTTTCTATAATGCCACCGTAAATGGTCTTCCAGTAAAATCCATTAACAATACCTTGGATTTGTATTCTTGGAACATCTGCTTTCCTTCAGGAGTGATGTGCAATAGTGATGCTTGCTAATTTTACTAGAAGTCATACCTCTGTTGTGTCTAGTTACCTTCTGTTTCCCTTTATAATATGTGATGGCACCTTTGATAGATACCAGTTGGAGAACTGAGATCAGTTCTCTCTGTCCTGTTTACTGTTTTATCGTCAGAGCTATGTATTGATCTAGATCCGATATTAAGAATTAAAATAATTTCATTGAAATAATCTTTTAGCAATTGACGGGGGGGGGGTTAGAATTTTATGTGCAGTGTATCAGTCACGCTGCACTACACAATACAGAATCATATATTCCAACAGTAATGTAGGTAACTTGTAAAATTCCACTAGAAAGGTCTTGTAACAATAGCCACCTGTAAATTATTACTACATCTCATGAACACAAGAATTTACTTGATCATGTGATTTGGGACTGCTAACATCTGCCTGAAAATGAGTCAGGTTTGGAAAGTTAGTAAATAAGCTGGAGTGCAGGCCAGAACAGTATTTCATGCTTAAAAAACTTCGTATCATTTAGGGTTGTAACAATCACGTATTTTAAGGCTTGTCTGTATGTGATCATCAGATCGTAATTTTTTCATCTGCTAACAGAAATGTAGAAAAAATTTCTGGAGATCATAAAGATATTTCTGCAAGTCTTTAAAAGAGCACTTAAACCTCTGTTGTAATAGTGACTGTGTTAATAAGTTAATGGTCAATTTGGTGAAGCTTTCAGTATCACAAAAAGCTTTTAAGCTCCAATGTGAATGTCTTGAGTGTGGGAGGAAAAAAACAAAAGGTGGGTTGGGGGGTGTTAAGGTAGTAAGGTAGTTTGGCCTGAGGTCTTTAATAGAAAAATCGGTCTAAATTTACTTTTTGCATATGAAGTTTCAGGTTGGTAAAACGTCTAAAATTCATAGTGCCATAAATTTTCTGGCAAACTCAAATTTGTGCTAGTGTTTTAGAAATATTCAGTTTAGTCTAGCTTTTTGTTGGATCACCATATATGTAGAACTTAGAGTAAGAGTGTGGTATCTTGTTGGGACAACTTGTTTTCCAGCATATAAATCTGAGAACTGGAATATTACATTGTCAGAATGTTGTTAGCTTGCCCTTGTAGATGGGACAGAACTTTTCAAACTCTGCTTGTGATCTCTTATGTCTTCTTTTTAATTTTTCTAGGCTGCAGAATATGTCCCAGAAAAAGTCAAGAAAGCTGAAAAGAAACTAGAAGAAAATCCATATGACCTTGACGCTTGGAGCATTCTGATTCGAGAGGCACAGGTTTAGTGACATAGGATTACATTTCCTTATCTATGGTCCACTCACACTATTTGGTTCTGGAGTAAAATCAGCATATTCATTTACATAAATCATAATATTGTAAATGCTGTTTTGATTTTCAATTTTTAGAATCAACCTATAGACAAAGCACGGAAGACCTATGAACGCCTTGTTGCCCAGTTCCCCAGTTCTGGCAGATTCTGGAAACTGTACATTGAAGCAGAGGTTAATATTTTTACATTTTTTTCTTATATAACATTTAATAGGAGTTTAAGTTTACTTTCATGAGCATAAATAAGATAGGCACATAATATCTAGGGAAAAGGGGAATTTAAATATGCCTTGCCTTTATTTTGTAAAATAGGTATAAAGGAGTGATTAAAATGAATTCTCAAGTACTGGGTCTTTTATGAGTTGATGATTGTTGCATTATGGAATTGCAACAACATTAAAACCGTTTCAATGGTATTGGAGTGCTTTAGCCTTTTATTTACTTGTCGTGTCAATTTATTGCCTCCTGTGTCATTTATTTAGAGGACTTTTTTTTTTTATTTATACATACAAACTTATTTGAATGACTTTCTGTGAATGTTTGGATCTTTTTTTTTTTTTGCTTTCTTAGGGAATTGAGTGTTTCTCTGAACAGTATTTTCACTGTTCAGAGAACACACACAGGGAGGGTGTGGGATGGAAGCTGATTTCTGGAATGAAAATGCTGGGAAAATGCATTAGCACAACTCATTAGCTTCTAAAAATCCCCCCAAAATTGTGATTATTTACATAACTATATAAAACTTCCCACTAAGTGCATTGATCATTTACAGTCTAATGACATGCCACGAAATGCAATGTGTAATCTGAGTTTGGCTTTTTAAGATTATTTTGTAGCTGATATTTAATACTAATACACATGCTATTTGTGGGCATCTTTTCTTGAGACCTTGTGTGTGCTAAACTACAGGGGTGGGGGACCTGTGTTCTGTAGATGAGAAATGAAAGAGCTAAATTTTTTTGCATTTTATGTGAAAATTGCTAAAGCAACAATCTGAGTGGCAAAACTGCATTGTATAGTTCTCATATCTTATTTTCCATTAAATTACATATCCAGATATATCTGGCTGTAAATTTTGAAGATTATTAAATAAAATTGGGGTCATGGGAATCTAACAGAAATTTTTATATTGCGGTTTATAGTAGATGTTATAGTGCAAAACAGTGCAACCTAAATTTAATATTACCTAATTAAATTTAATGGAATTTTCACTGTAGTGCAAGCTAAATTTAATATTGCCTAATTAAATAGCATAGAATTTTCACTATTTTGGTTGCAGTAGTTTGTACTAGTAGTTGGAATGTCAGTGACTGTGAACATTTGGGAGATTGTGAATGCACTAACACATACAGATGTGTGTATTTCCCTTTGGGACCCTGTGACCAAATCCATTAGCCTCTTGTACCCTGCAGTGCTTGCTACAGGCTCTAGTCTTTAGAATCTAACCTAGTTTGATTATATTATCTGATTTCTGTGCTTATTTAAAACTTGTTATCCTTCCCATGCCTCAAATTAGAGTTGAATAAGACCACCTCAGAAAGCATGTACTGTATTGTAGATCTTTCAGCAGAAAGTGCTATTATCAGCCTGAGGCTTCTTGTTCTTGAACCATGTTCAGAGGTGAATTGACAGATATTACCTCCCTTAATTGATACCTTTTAACTAATTTATAATCTAGTCGTATTGAGAAGCATTAACAGCGGCAAAGCTTGCAGCAGTCTAGGGTATAATTTTTTTACGTGCTGCTTCAAGGAAGGAAGATCAGCTTCTACCCAGCAGGTATGGTAACCAGATAACACAAGGTAAATTCGAGAAAGAAAGAATTGGTGTAAAGAGCACTAGTTCGTGTGTGTGTCTGCCTATAACTACACTTCAAATATATAATTTATATAATACACCATTCTGTTTGAAACAATGGACAAATGCGGACTGTAGAGCTCTGGTAGAGGTTACACTTGAAAAGGGTTATATTTGAAAGAAATGTAAGAGATTACTCTTTAGACATTTATCTTTTCATTTTAACAGGGAAATTTTTAAAATTCCAGTTATAACTTAAATTCTCAACTTTTGTTTCCTGGTTCCAGTAACTTCTCTCAAAACTCACTTAGTGACCAAGAGAATTAGAAAGCAACACGCTTATCTCTGCCTTTTTTTTTTTAGTATATGTAACCATTTATAGCAGTAATATGAAATAACTTATTTCCAAATTCCTCTCTAAAAATACATATATTCACACAATTGGGCACTGTTGTCAGTGTTGTTTTAATTTGCATGTCATATGTACAGTCCTTTCTAAGAGTAAATTCAAAATGAAACGTTTTCTCAAATGATCTTTTAACAGCGCGGTTGAATATAAATTAAGACTTCAGCTAATTTTTGAAGGCTACCTGAGATAGAGGAATTGGTTTGAGGCTTCTTTTATTGCAGCCGTAAGATGTACAAGGAATTATAGGGAAGGTATTTTCCAAAAGCTTTTTTCCTTGGAAATCTTAGTAGTCTGCTCCTGCTAGAAAGTTTTTCTCTTGGGTAGATCAAAAGTGTAGGGCTTTCCAGCTTTGAGTATGGGAAAGTAAACCTGTGGCAAACCTTTTGTTTAGCATTGCTTTTGATTCACTCTCACTGCCTCAGTATTTAAATCTGAAAATCGCTAAAATCTTCAGTCATCTGTAAGCTGTGTTTTTTTTTCTGATGTCAAAACAGGCATATTACTTTCCTCTTTAACATGACAATGTTTCCTCTTTGCATCACAGAAAGACAAAAAGGGAGAGGAAAGTGGGGGTTGTTTTGGGGCAGGTTGTCTTTCACTAGAGATTTTTGTCCTCTGAAAGACAAACTGAGCTGAATACCCTTACGTAGTGGTGGTCTATTGCTGGAAGGTGAGCTAGGGTGAGGGTTAAGATTATGACCTTACAAAAAAGGAATTAGCCCTTTAGCAGATGTATTCTCTATGAAATTGTCAGAAATCTTTACATTTCCCTTTGCCTAACTTGAGGGATATGTTCTTTTTAGTCACTTCCAATCTTCAAGTTGAAATAATTTTTTATAACCTGTATGAACAAAAATGGTTTCCCTGCATATATGCCCATTCATTTTGTAATGTAAAACTTGAAAGTGCAGGCCTTACTGCTGTGTTTACCTCTTGTTTTTATGACAGTGTTTGTTCAGCTCGCTGTTTTTCTTTTTTGCGTATGACTTTCCTAGTGGATTCCCTGGTGGAATGTAGTGTAAGGCAGTGCTGAGCACTTAGTGTGTCATCTAACTGCTGCTGAAACACAGCCTGTGCTGAAGTAACCGAATACTTCACGTTTCCATTTTAAGTGCCAAGCACTGATTGATATGCTCTGTTCTCTATTATGACTGGTTTGGTAGTCAGTAGAACATGGAGATTGACTGGGAAGAGCATGCTTTGACAGCTTGCTAATGGGAACTCTACTATTAAAGCTTGAATTGTTCAAAAATTTTGATTCTCGCACTGGTTCTTATTTCTTCTGGTATTCAAAGAAGCAGTTGCAGGACGTAGAAATAATAGAATTGGATGAAACAACTCCCAGCTCACAACGTTTTTGGGGCATAGCATTTGAATGCTGAAGACTTGCAATAATAGTTTTGTTTAGTGACCTTGACAGAGTATGTAGTTTATTTTTGATACATATTTTAGCAATTAAAATAGTTAACTTGCTATTCTGCATCTACTAAAATTTAGGAAGTGGTACAGTAATGCCACTCTTCTTACTCTTGTTTTGTCTAGTTGCTTAAAGCACATTTTTTTCTCTTGATACATTTCCTGTACAAATCTACTTCCAGAGAACTTGAATCAGTTCACATATCAGTGCCCCTTCCACAGTTTTAAAAAGGAGCGTGTAAGTCTCCCACATGTGCCAAAATGTTAAATTCATAGATCACGTGATCTGGATTCTAGCCTGCTCTGCTGATTTGCTGTGTCTTCTTGGGTAAGTTTTTTGACCTGTTTTGCCATTATTAAAACAGATACCTACCTACCTCACAGGGTTGTTGTGAGGCTCACTTTAGTGATTAAAGTGCTTTTGGCATCTGGCTAAAAGGTGCTACAGAAATGTAAAAATAAATTCTGCTTTAATACCCTCTGATCCCATAGGCCCAGCTGTCTTATTACTATTTCCTTTGTCTCTTTGACTGTTTGAACCATCTTTTAGATACAGAAAGACTTGATAATGCTTTTCATGCACTTGAAAGAGCTTTTACCAGCATTGTAAATATTTCAGTAGTTCTGAAGCAAGCATTTGAAGTGGTCACCTTTTTGTCTGCTAGTTTCCTTTGAGAAACCACCCGGTTGAAAATCCTCTTAAGCACACCTATTAAACTATGTTCATGTATTTGCACCATTTTTTTTAATGATCCAAAGAATTTTTAGTTCCAGTTGCTCTAAGTGGAAACTTTAATCTGCAGTTGTCCTGAATGCTTCAGGCCAGTTCACACCACACCTTTTTACCTTTTTCATTGTTGAATATATTACATTATATCCTGGTCACTTTGAACTTGTTAGTAGGGGTTGAAAGGTTGCCATAATTAAAGATCTAAAAATCATAACCACGAGACAGTTGTGACAAATACCCCAAGTCTAGAAGCAATAAATACAAAGCTAGTAACATGAGTGCAAAGTGTTTGGCTGTTAATATGTGTTTTTCATCTTGCGAATTTTGCAAGTAAGACTCCTGTGTTATTGCTTGTTCTAAAGAAATGGAACTAGATACATTTGTTCAGATAACTTCTATTTGATATGAACACTTTGAATTTTAGATGTCTCGGTATCAAACCTGATGCTGTATGAGGAGGATTCAGAGGGTGGGATGAAAGCTTAGGGTTGATTGTTTTGCATTTCATCATATGCAATACATCAGTAATCTTTAATCCATGTAATTCACACTGGTGTGGATACTAGTCAGAATGTATCATTTAACGTACTTGTATATGAAAAATGTAAATAAAACCATTTAGAAAAATGATTGTTTTTGTTTAAAATGTTTGTGTTTCTTCAAAACATTTTCTTCCCCTGTTTTACTTTAATCTGGTTCCGAGTTCAGAAAAAAAATCGTTATACATACCACCAAAATTATTCTGCTTGGGGGAAAAATGGGAACTGACTTCTGTCAGGATGAAGTTGGAGTTATCAGAAGTCAAAGTAGAATAGACTTCT